ACTTTGCTAAACTATCTATCTGCTTGGAAACATCATTTCCTTTGCAAATAATGTTTATCATTAATGAACAATGTCTATATACATTCATGAACTATTGTGTGATGTAGGTTGCATTCAGTTACATGCATCTCACATGGTACAAAGACATATATTACATTACATTACCTCATATTGCATAAGATATTTATCACTGTATGACCAATAAGAATATTATGATAGATGTATTTTAGTGTAAATTGATAAACTATCTGTCTATATACCTTGTTGAACTATTGAATGATGTAGCTTACATTCAGTATATGTCTTTGCATCTGACATGGTACTAAGACATATATAACATTACATAACCTGATATTGCATTAGATATTTATCACTCTGTTTTCAATAAGAATATTATGAAGCATGTATATTAGTGTAAATTGATAAACTATCTGTACATATACCTTGCTAACCTATGTGATGAATACTACATTATGTGACATGCATGTCACATGAAAAAATATTGTACTATGTGTATTACATTACATGACCTCATTTAGCATTATGTGACTTGCTGAACTATGTGTATTACATTACATGACCACATTTACTATACAACATTTGGTTTGCAAAGCATGTTTGTCAGTCTATCATGATTAAAAATTTATGCCTACACTCTCATTCATGCATTTCATGACATTTTATCTAACATGAAGGAGTATCATGCTTGAATGGATACTTGTATTATAGGGTTTCACATGTGTCTGCCAGATTCCCTGCCAGCCACATTAGTGGCCTACAGAACTGCGTGGTCTGGCAGTTCAGTGAGCCTCATACATGTAACCTGTAAAAGGCCAATTCATACTTCTATGTTAACATTGTATGTGAAACATAAAAGCTTCCAGCATTCATGTGTCATTGTATGGAGATCACAATTGAGAGATCAAGAATTCTTTCTGCCAAACTTTTCCATTTGGGTACATATCTTCATCACTAATGTCTTCACATTATATTACATAACATCACAAAATATTACTGCCAAAATCCAAAAACAAACTTGCATTACATATTCAAGTTTCCCTGCACTACAAATACTACATTTATATGCGCCGTACACTTTTGTTATGCAATGTTCATCCAATCAAAACACATGCCCACAATTAGGTAATCATTGAAGTACTTCCCATTCAGTGTTATAGTCTGTCCAGATCTTCTAGGTAACACATGGCATGCATGTACCCATTCAAAACAATCTTTGCATAACAGGTTGCCATTAGGTCTTTTCTTGTTTAGAGGCATCATGCAGTAATAGTGACTTAAATTTACATGACCCCAGAAGCATGGTTCCAACAAAAAGCCCCCAGAAAGTAGTCCACATCCATGACATTTTGGTGAAATGCATGCACTACATGAACAACATCTCATCTTAAATATGAATTTAAGAAATGTGATCAGAAATAATTATTTTTCATCAAAAGACTATAATATCTCTGTTTAAGCTTAGTTATTACTAATCAGTTGGATCTTGAAATCTTATGTGCATACATAAGCATGCAACATCCAAAGAAGAATACAAATTCTATGGTACACTGCATGAAATTATTTGTGACACCAAAGATCAATTAGATACAATATTGTATTACATCAAAAATATATAAATTTTATTTTGTTGAGCTTTTATATTTGCATCACCAATTTTCTGAAATCACTGCATATTTCACGTTAGAAAATGACTTGGCATTTCAAATATATTTCAAACATACCTCTGCACTCTGAAAGAATAAGGCCGATCAGAATTTATTGTTGTTGTTATGTTTAATTCCTTCTCTGTATGTCAGCCAAATGCAAATGCGGTTGTTGAGGTCATAAATGAGTTGAGCTTGTATATATGGTATCATGGTATGATATTTGGCAGTTGGGCATTATCCAATGGTACGTTTTCTGTTCTCTTTATTTTTTATTGAGCAGACTCTACAGCCACCCTACTTGTGCTGTGAAGAAGTAATGATGGTAAGAGATAAATGATTTGAGGGCTGCACCATTCGATTTGTTACATGTTTTAAAAGTATATATTTTTTGTAGTACATTGGTTTATTTGGTATTCTGAGAGCAAAGATATTGTAGTACATTGCATTAAATGCTGTTGCAGCATTAAAATTTTGCCATATTGGTGATCCATAAACTTGGTTTATGTGCACTGCATAAAATGGTTTTTGTTTACCCCATAATTGTCAAGATTTTTATTACGTGTGGGTTTATTTTCCTAATGCTAGGCTTGGTAATTTATACATAAAATACCTGGTCTAGCATATTTGGGAATAAAAAAATTTGCTAAAAAAAGTTGAAGTGCGACGTGGCCTACGTTTTTATTTGTACTGTAATATACATCATTTTTTAAAAATTTATATGATCTGTTTATTAGTCAATCCTCACTATTACTATACATTCTTTTATACTTATTGCACATACAGATTGTGTACGATTGTTTGAAATATTTAGTGTAATTTTTTTTTTGAAATAATATTAGTATCCTAAAATTTGAAGTGGAAACTATGTCGAAAAAAAATTGAAATTAAATTTTCAAGCAGTAATTTTTTTTTTACTTGTGTAGGATTGTTTTAAATATTCAAAGCCAAAATGTCGCACTTCAAGGAACCTTAGCAAACATTATATATGCACTCATTATTTAATTTTTTTGAACTCAGATGTTTAATATTTTTGAGATAAGTCATAATATACTTCCGAAAATACAATGTAAAGTTATTATGATAATTTTTTATATCAGTTTCCAAAAATGATAATTTTTGAATTTTTTAATTAAGTAATATATACTTTCAAAAGTACTTCATGAAAGAATTATAATTGCAATATTTTATTTTTGTATCTTAAACACTACAAATTCTACTAATATATCTTTAATTTCAAATTCTCGTATTCAAATTGTACGTTTCTGTCCTAAAAAATGGATATGTAATGTTATTAAGCATTTCATTTAATCTTCTCAAAGCTGCATCAACCCAGCACGGTCCTTGTTTTTTATTTGTATATTTGGTCGTACATAGGATTGACTTCATTGGTAAGATCAAAGATATGTAGTACATTGCATTAAATGCTATTTCATCATTAATGTTGTGTCCTATTCATCATCTATGAACTTGCTCCTATGTGCCCTAGCATTAAATGCTTTTGCTTGAGCACACAACTGTCTACTTTTCATAATGCATACTTTATATTATTTACGTGTATGAAAATTATAATGGTGTACAATTATTTAAAAATTTCGAAGGCCCTAAATTGTAGATGGCTTTTTTTAAAAATGTTTAACTTTAAGTATTATGTGCTTAAATAACTATTTTTTAAAGACGTTTAACTTAAATAACTATTTTTTAAACACGTTTAACTTTATGTACTCCGCATGGCTGAAGTAATAATATTCATCAAAAAATAAATCATTAAGTTACTATGATTACAATGACATATTTAAATTTCATTGCTTGCAGTTCGGTGTCTGTCGGCAATTGTGATATGCATGTAGTTATATACTCCATATTAATGATCAACATGTTAATTTCTTTTAATCTATACAAAATTTATTTCATTTACACATGTTTTTAAATTTTAGAATTCGTAGTACGTAGGATTAGTTGCCTTTGAGACAACAAAGATATTTTTGTACATTGCATTAAATGTTGTTTCATCATTAAAGTTAAGGCCTATTCATTACTATTCATCATCCAGCTGAACTTGCTTTATATCGTTGCTTTATGTGTCATAGCATTAAATGTTTTTGATTGTACCCAAAACTGTTTAGTTCTTTATGTGTCATTGCATTAAATGCTTTTAATTTAGCCCACAGATGTGTAGTTATTAAAAACTCGTATTTATATACTATTATACTTATATAAATGTAATATTTGAATCATTATTAAATTTTTTTGAACCCAGACGTTTAATATTTTTTAAGATAAGTAATAATATAATTCCGAAAATACAATATAAAGTTATTATGATAATTTTTTAAATCAGTTTCCAAAAACTTAATTTTTTTTAAATAAATGTTTACACCAAAAAATATAAGTAATAATATAATTACCTAAAAATATAAAGTTATTATAATTTTTGAAATCAGTTTCCAAAAATGATAATTTTAAAATTTTTTAATCAGGTATTTATATAACTTCGAAGGTACTTGATGAAATTATTAGAATTGCAATATTTTATTTATGTATCTAAAATATCTAAAACAATATATGTTTATTTTTAAATTTAAATTTCCGTGGTTCCAATTAAAAATACATTTTGCCTGCTCTGAAATGGTACGTTTCTGTAGCATGCACCATAGGATTAGTTGAATTTGTAAGTTAAAAGATATTTTAGTACATTGCATTAAATGATGTTTCATCATTAAAGCTATGTCCTATTCTTCATCTATGAACTTGATCCTATGTGTCATAGCATTAAATGTTAGGTGTCGGTCATAGCTTATGGAACCTTTAGAAAGGTTGCCAAATATGTAAAAGTTTTACTTGGTCTGTAATAATTATTCAATTAAGTAGTTAGTTCAAATTAGGGAATGCAGGTGTTCTTGCCCAGGAAAATCTTTCAGGTATGTATATAGAATCACTGAGCTTTCATCATTTCATTTTCTATTCATTATTTCAGTATTTATTATTATTTATTTGAATTATAATTTTTCATTAGATGTACATTATCTTATAGGGACATAGTGTTGCCATTGCCTTATAGGTTTATATTGCCTTAGTGTAGATGTACATTTATTCAAGCAACAGAATGATAGTGATTAAGCTTCCCATCCTTTGTCTCCTGATTAGAACTCCCTTCCTTCAGTAGCCTTTAATGTTTTGTGCATAACTTCATATATAAGATGCCTCCGTTCTTGTAGTAGGTCTTCTTCCATCCTCCAGTCTCTATTATACAATCTTAAATCAATAACCACCTGCAAAATAAAACGTAGTATTCCAGATACAACATAGTCATCTCAATGTTTCAGCTTATCATATTAAGCCTACCAACCATTACCAAGTACGTAGTACATATTATCAAAAATCAACATAAGCACAGGCTTAGTGACCCAAAAGCCAAGCTCAGAGTTAGGAAGTTAAGCAAAAATTAGAGTTAATGGCAAATACTATTTAAAATGCATCTCTTAATAGTTTAAACAAAAACATAATTCATTCAATCCAATCAGCCCATAATCTGGTCCTTTATATTGGTTCTTTCTTGATTTTCGTCTTCAGCTTCTTGGTAGTGCTTGAAAACTCCCCCAGCAAGTTCCTTTTAAGTGTGTCACCTTCTTGTTCCAACCTTCCACTTTTTGTCTGTGTCGGAGTGACACCATCAACAGTTTCCTGAAGCCACCATTCATGCGTATAGAAATAAGAATATTTCTCTTTCTTTGAAATGGGAATAGGCAACCTCAAAATCTTTCCAAATAATGTACCTTTTCTAAATCAACAACATCAACAGATTTGGAGCGTGCTGTGCTTCCTGCTAAGTTGTTTCCTGATGATCCAGTCTGCATACAATTACATGATGAAAAAAAGTAATGTTTTCTATTCTTCAGGTAGACATTTTCCAACAAAATTCTCTAATCGATAGCTTACCTTCTCCACATCTGATGGTTCATCAAGCCGTTTAGCATCTGCCTTTGGTTCTTCATAAATTTTCAAAATATCTGCATCCCTCATCATCGAAATAACTCCATACGAAATCGGTCCTCTATATGAACTGCTCTCTGCTATATTCTTAAGCTGGACTTTGAACAATGCTCTTTTGTCTATGATGGCTTCAATGTCTTCAGGAAAATGAGTAGGGTCTCCAGTTCTCTATTTCAAATTTAAAATTATATTTAATTAAATCTGATTAAATTTGATTAAACTTTCAAAATAAATTGTCGTTTAATAATGTTTTTTATTAAGGCCACTTTTATACCTTCTCCACTTCCTTCCTGAGTGTTGCTGCTGTTTTTCCTATAATGTCCAAACATTCTCTGTCCCATAACGTAAAAGAGCCGTAACCACTTTCGTCCATAACGCACACGGTAACTTTGTACCTACATGGTAAAGTTTTGAATTTGACTAAATTTTAATGAATTGCATTTAAAAATCATTATGTCCGTTTTCCAAACTACGTTCCTAATGTACCTCAGTATTCCCTCTGGAAGTGTGACGTTGCAGAAGACGCATATGAACCTATCCTCTTCTGGGGTGACTTTCTTGTTGCAGGTGTTGCAACTGAGATAGCACCATTCTCTAAAGTTCTCTATGGACACAACAAATATTTAAATAGGTACATGTATCTAAACATGTAATTAGAACAGTATAAACTACCTCAGTTTTCTTAAGTAGTTCTGTCATTTTTGTGATGGTGATATTTCCTGCTCTTAGATCTTCACGACTGTCAGTCTGCGAAATAGCTTTGAATGTTGTTAAAGTTCCATTTTCCCCCTCTTTCGCGGGAAATCTGTTACCCATAAATATATTTTAATAAGATCTCATATTGGCTTTATATAACTGTTTGAATATGTTTAAGAAATAGTTTATGTGCATACTGTTGCATAAACTCAATGAGCTCCTCTGCATCTTCATTAAATATCAATTTGCTAGCATCGTAGGAGGTGGTCACGGATATGGTTCCTGCAAAATATATGTTTAGTGAAACTTGTATTGTTTTAGCCACTTAAATTGTCATATAGATTTCACCTCGGTAGCGCTTAGGCCTACACATTTGCACGATGACATAGATTGCCTCAGTTTTGTGAGCTTCGTAGTATTCTAAGAATTGGTTTATGTAGTTGTTCCATAGAGTGCATCCCAGTCTGTTACCACTGTTCAATGAAAGACATTAACATGGGCTACAATTATACTATGCTACTCCCTCCGTCCCTAAAAGGATTTCCATGTTTGACCGGCACGTAGAATAATAAAGTAAAAACTGTGTGGTAGAGATTTGTGCAGAGGAGAGAGAAATAACAGAAACCACAAATTGATTGACTAATAGGGAAAGTGGCAAAGTTTTTGGGACAACCAAAAAAGGAAAGTTGGCATAGTTATAAGGGACGGAGGGAGTATTATAGTATATTCAACATTCTGTTATGGTACTCTTTACTCACTCGGCATCTTCAAGAGTGAGCTCCATAAGTCTCTCCGGTTTGCCATTGATGACATGATTTTGAGGGGTGCATTTGCTCAAAACCTTTCCTATAACATCTGCAAAAAATACATTTTTATGAGAGTTGATAATTTATGTTTACATAAAATAAACAAATACAAAGTTACCCATCAGCTGTTTGTCATCAACCACTCGTAAGGACTGTATCACTTCGAATTCCTGAAACTCGTACACCGAGTTCGGAATCACCTCTCGTTTTACTTCCTTAAGATAAGTCTTCCCATAAAATTCAATCAAGTAGGCGTGGGTTGTTGCTTTGTAGGTATGGTAGTTATCCTTGACCAAGAAATCTCTTACTGCGTAAACAGTATTTTCAATTATCAGTGGCTTGAACTTCCTCAACTGTGGTCTCTTTATCACCCCATGAATTTTGTCTCCCTGCAAAAATAGTTAATTGCTCTGAAAAAATGAAGTCTTTGAACTGTGTATTTAATTGCGCTTATAAAGTTATCTTTAACAATACCTGTGAATCAATAAAAACCAATTCCAAACGCTGTCCTCCAGGAGATTGTGGTGGCATTTCATATGCCCTAACAACCTTTACCTTAATAGCCCAGGTTGTTTTGGTGTGGTCAACATCCCTGAGGAATGAATACATTCCTTGGTTTTCTGCCATAAAAATAAATATGTGCTAGGCTTTGTTCGTGCAGCTGTGTGGAATGGTAAATGAACCACATGAGTGGTAGTATTTATACTGGAACTTAACCTGGATGAAGTGAATATTCGACAGTAATACCCGGTAGGCAATAACCACTAAACAAAGTAATGGAATTGTACGTTTGAGAACTTTTTTGATTTGTTTTGCGGCCCAAGAAGATGCAAGTACAGATATTTTTGATTAAATCTTTCATTTGTTTTGCGGCACAAGAAGATGCAAGAACAGCTCAAAGCATGAGTACAACTGTTCTCTGAAAGAATAAAAAAAGTATTGAAAAGACAAGTTGCAACAACCATTTAATGCTAATTACCTCATAAATTAAATGCAGTTCGCAGACATAACCCCTACAGATCCAGCTGAACATTTTAGCCCGACCCGACCACTTTCATTACTGTACATTTAGGCGGGAATTTGACCTGCAAATCCACAGCTGTTTGTATATAGAGATCTTTTAATGTAGTTAATAACCAGATAGATTTTTGACCCTTTTATATTGAATTTATGTTGTCTCTTTTTAGAAATAGTATGGATCAGTGATATGTTTTACTCGTGCTAAAGTATTACATCAAGAACCTGGTTGGAGTGTGTTTTGACTTTTGACTTTTGAGGATAGAATTGTTTGTGGTATGTCTCTTATTACGGTGTATATTATAAATTTTTGTCCAAGAATCAGTCTTATCAACTTTATCAGTCACCTTTTTCACTAAACACGTAATTTTTGATTTCACGCGTTGAAGTTTGTAATAAGCAGAAAAACTAAAGTTAAAGTTACTTTTCTGGCTGTTTTGACGGAAGTTACTCTAGAGAATCATTTTAGCTATTTTTCATATAATTTTTTATTTAATTTATTAATAACAAATATTTTAAATATAATTTTTTCATAAATCACCAGAATCAACCAATACAACTATTTCAGCCAGAAATTCATAAATTTCAGCAGAATCAGCCAATTCAGTCAATTTTAGTGTTACTAAACGGGAAAGTATTGTTTGACATATTCTTCCTTGGTTGGTCTTTAATTAAAATATGGATTATGATTACTATGGCGGCGTCAAGGTTGGAAGGGGCACGGCCCCCTAAAAAAACCGCATTTATAAATATTTGAATGTAATTACAAAACAACATTGAAATATGAATATATTTTGAACAAAGGTGGATTTGGTGAATAAAATCCACTTCCACCCTAATTGCAATAGTTTTGAACTATGAAAAAACACTTCCCTAACGGCTACAAACAGCAAAGATTCGCCCAATTATTAAAACGATCGGATGGATTTTGCTGTTTTTCTTTTTCTTTTCTTTTTTGCTTTTGTTGTTAAAAAAATGATAATAACTTTTTTATTTTTAATCCGATTTTTATAAAATTTATGTCAACATTTTTTATTTTTCATGATCTTTCAAATGAGACCAATATTGTGTATGTAATTTTAAGAAATTATCGAACTATTATATTAATGAGTATTGGATTATAAGGAAAATCGAACATGTTTGGGAGATAGATTGGTTTGTGAAATAGAAGATCGAATCTGTTTGGGAGTGGATCAGTTGCCTCAGTTACATTTGATAATACATTGAGTTACATCTTTTTATGAGCGAGTTACATCTTTTTATAAGCAAGTTACATCTTTTTATAAGCGAGTTACATCTTTTTATAAGCAAGTTACATCTTTTTATAAGCGGGTTACATATATATACACGCGAGTTGCATTTGACATGCCTGAACGCGACTTACATATATTTACACGTAAAGTTACATATTTTTACACGTAAAGTTACATATTTATACACGCGAGTTACATATTTATACACACGAGTTGCATTTGATCTGTCTAAACGCGAGTTACATATTTTATTACGTAAAGTTACATATTGTTACACGTAGTGATACATATTTATACACATGAGTTGAATTTGATCTGACTGAACGTGAGTTACATATTTTAACACCTAGACAATATTGGTCTCATTTGAAAGACCATGAAAAATAAAAAATCTTGATATAAATTTTATAAAAATCAGATCAAAAATAAAAAAGTTATTACCATTTTTATTAAAAAAAAGAGAAAATAATATCCAATGAGTGCATGGTGTTTAGTATGCACCCGGTTGCATAACGCACTCCTAGTTTTATACCACACGTGCCCCCATTTTAACCGACTTACAATAACCGCCTAACTGCTCCCTCGATTAACCCTAACCCCCCCTTCTATTTAAAACTCTGGAATGACTTTTCCACCGAAACGAGAGCTTTCTCGACATCCGATTTTATCGGGTCGCTGCTATGGATCGGGTTAAAGTTTCATGGACCACGGAAGAAGATGAATTGCTGAAGAAGCTAGTGGCAGAGAACGGGGCCAGGAACTGGCCGTTGTTAAGCCAGTCGATTCCGGGGAGATCCGGGAAGTCCTGCCGTTTCCGGTGGCGTAATCACTTGTCCCCGGAGGTGGAGCACCGCCCGTTCACGGCAGAGGAGGACGCCGTTATAGTTCAAGCTCAGGCGGAGATCGGAAACAGATGGTCCGCTATTGCGAGATTGCTCAACGGACGAACCGACAACGCCATAAAAAATCACTGGAACGCGTCACTGAAGAGGAAATTCGACAACGAAGAAGGTGGGGGAGAGCGGTGTTTAAAGGCTTTGAAGCCGACGGAAACTGCTGATGTCACGCTAGCCGTCGTGCCTGATTTTTTCAGTTACTCGAGATCCGATATCAACGGTACACAGGCCGTGGGTCCTCTGGTTGGACCGGAGAAGCAGACGGATCTGTTGACCACGTTGACTCTATCGTTTCCGGCACAAAGAGCAGATAATGCGGTTTCTATAGAGCGGCAAGCAAAGGTGTGCGGTAAAACGTGTGGTAAAACGAATGAGCCTGTAAATCCCGTACAAGAAGCGAGGAGAAAGAGCCACGAATTAATCCCTGTGATGCAACAAATGATTAGAAAAGAGGTAGAGAGATATTTATCATCCGATCATATTATCAACGATGTTCTTCAGAATGTTCAAGTGAAACGTAGTGGCATTAGCAGATTAACGGGGCGATTCTAAAACAATTTTTAGTATTATTTATTCTTTTTTCTTGATTGCTATTCATTATGACTATGTTCTTGGAGACTTGGACTCTTTCGTTGTTGTTCATCCATACTGAGTAAAATTATACCTTTTCAAAGACAGGTATACAGTTGACTTAGCATCTTTTCTTTTGAACCATACAGACCAGAGTTAAACATATCAGATCAACAAATTACGCATTACACCATTATTCAAAAAATGGTTAAAATGCGTTATTTTAAGAAATAATTTTCATGGGAATATACTATTTAGCATGAATACTTGACTAAGACACCTTATCGACGTATCAAAAATTGATTAAAAGTTTTCCATTTTTTTATAATTATCTGATAAATCAGATACAATAACAAATAGACGTATGTATAAACTTTTAAAAAAAAAATAGACAAAAATTAAATACTAAAAGTGTTCAAGCGTAAAAAGTAAAAATTAGTTCTTCCTATATCCTATGATCTTGACTAATGTTATCATCCATTCATCTCTAATTTACTCTTAGAGAATTGCAAAAAGTCATACTCACCAATCTATAATATACTCCGCAGATCTAGTAAGATTTTATCTATCTTTTATATCCATTAATTAAATTCTTCCAACAACTAATCATTATCATAATAACAATAAGTTTTAAAATCTAAAAAGAGGAGAATCTTGTATTGGTGCTACATATGGTATATAATGACGTCATTGATACTAATTGTGATATCTCTACTCGGTAGTTGTGATGTTTTATTTTTACAAAAAAGACTTTTTTACACATTCTTATACACACTTTTTTACACATTCTTGTACACACCTATGTTTGTGAAAGGTTTTCTTTTTGTGTGTGAACATCGAATAAAATATTGTTTGTGAACCGGATTCACAGACAAAAAAAGCTTCACAAAAATGGTGTGTAACTGTGTACAAGGGTGTGTACATCAAGCACTTTTGTTATTTTTATATATGGACAATTATTTTCCAAAAACAGAAACCGGAAGCTTTAAGGATGCTCTAACAGAAACCGGAAGCTTTAAGGATGTTCTATTTTGGATAGTAGTTTGCTAATCTGGTCTGGGCTATTTTGTTTAAGTCTAATCTGGTATAATTTGGTCTGGTCTGGTTTGGTAAATGTACGATCTCTATGTATTTTATAACTGTCAAAGTCTGGTCTGATCTGATCTGATCTACTTAAGTCTGGTCTGATCTAAGACTAGCTTAAATTTGAAAAATTACCCTAAGTAGGACTAAAACGTTTTTATATTCTAAAATAGGGCTATCATATTTTTATTCCCAAAATAAGACTAATTATTGTCATGTTTTGGCAGTATTAGACTTTAAACATAACAATATTTTCCAAACTTGACAATAATTACTCATATTTTGAAAATAAAAACATGATTGATTTATTTTAGAATCTTCAAACCTTTTTACTATTTGTACTCCTAAATATCTTTACTCAGAGTCCAAGGAAGACTATAAGCTTCCGATGCAAGAATTTTAGAACATAGTAATGTTTACAGACATTAATGACCGCACTTTTGATCATACGGGTAACAACTTATACTTCTAGAATAAAAGCATAATAGTCCTATTTTAGAATTCTAGAAGGCTCTTATGCTTATGTACACCAAATATTTATCAAATCATATTTAAAATACTTTATTTGATCAAATGAGAAAGATCTCATTATCTCATAGAAAAACATCCTAAAAATAATGTTTGCTTCTATATGCCTTACATTATACATTAGTTTAAACTATCATTATGATAATTAACTCAACATTTAACTATCCTTGGTAGGCTTTTTGAAAGACCACTTTGATTAATCAAATAACAATATCATCTAAAGTTTTAGTGCTGTAGAAATAATTTAAGCTTTCATAAATAGAACGGTTCATCTGAATCATAATAACCCCAAACTGCATATTATTCATATTTTCATGCATCTACATTTTTAAGAAATAAAAGCAGAATCTAATTTCAATTTAAAATATATATTTTCAGCTTTGCGTAAACTAGGGCTATTGAAAACTGAAAATCGAATCAAAATAAATTAAACTGCAGTTAAACTAAATCGAATCACGAAAAATCAAAATTGAAAGCCGCGCCGCAAATCGAACCGAACCATACTTGTTTAGTTTGATTTCGGTTTCAGCCTTTCAAAACCGAATTGAGTAAATTGACCTAATTGAAATACGGTAACTTATTTGTTGATCGTTAAGCATTAATTTCAATAATTTCATTGTTAGTTTTTCATTTTCTAATGTTATACTTATAAACAGTTCTTATTTAAGATGTTAAGTTGTTAAATTTGAGATTTAGTTAAGCTTATAAAATTTATTTGCACTTTCATTCCCTACAATAATACAACTATATTCATCTGTTTACTTTTTATGCTTGTACTTTATAAATCAAAGTTGCACTATGTTAAGGTGTTTCAACTGTTCTAAAAATGGTCGTAGGTGTTCGACTAATCCCCGTCTAGGCATCCCCGACTTTTTTCCTAGGCATCCCCGACTTTTTTCTTGGCATCCCCGTCCTATTTGCTTGGTTACCATGTGAATTAGTCAGGTGCCTAGTGCGCCTAATTGATCGCCTAGTGTGCTTAACCGGTCGCCTAGAAAACTACTTGTAGATTAAGATAAAAACTATACATTTTTGTATATATTCGTGAATGTTATTATTATTTAATATTCATTACATAATGAAGTTAAATGAGTAGTTATAATATATTATTAAATGTGACAATTCTGTCAGTCGTGCATGTTAATGTATTTGTGTGTTTTATGCAAACATGATGTTACTTATCATATTTATACACTATATTGATAAAAATATAATTCATGTGTCTCCGACTAGTCCCACAAAGTCGCCCGCCTAGCCGCATAAGGGCTTGATATTGGGTTGCTGCCCGACTAGCGTCTAGAGCCTTTTAGAACATTGAGGGTATGTTTGGTTTGGGGTTATCTCACATTGAGGCCGGAATGTGATGCTTGGAATGTTAGATACCTATGTTTGGTTCACGGTTTTGAGAAAAGATCGGGAAAGTTATATTCCTGGGAATGTAATATGGAGGGGAATGTTATACCCTTCCATGTCTTAGGTTATCTGACATTCTCGGGGATGATCTAATTTTCTTCAGAAAATACCCTCAATTAATTATCGCTTTTCATTTAATTTCTCTATGTATTCAACTTTTATCAAATTTGAATTTTTGTGATTTTATAAAACTTTTAATGTAGTTACTAAAAATAATCTTATTATTGACAAGGATCAGTTAATTTTAGGGGTTTTTCCTTAAATATTACTAAAATATAAGTTATGGATAAAAATATAACTACAGTTAATATGCATAGTCACTATGATGTAAAGTTCAACACTATCATGGTCAATAAAGTTACTATTATAGTCACTAAGTCATATCTGTGTCCATTACCTTCGTTTAAGTTATATATTTGTCATTATTTTTTAATCTTATAGTTAGTCGAATATCTAGATTGTGTGACAACCTTTTAAGTGGGACGAATGTAGTATGTTTATTTAATTATTTTGGAATGTCTATTCTTGTTATTTACATAATTCTTTTTTCCTTAACATTTAATTTTTTAAGGTATTTATGCCTATAGATTATTTAAGTTTTTAATGAGTGGATTTCAAAATTTAATGGCAAAATTGATCATTTTTTCTTTAATTTGAAAACAAGTTTTACGAATAACTTGAACATTTTTTAAATTTATTTTTATTGAAGTGATAAAAAATATATTTAGATTGCTATTTGAATAGAATTTTTTTCATTTTTGTATGGGATGGATCCTTACATTAGACTCAAAGTCACCAAAACCTTGCTTCCCACTATACTCAGAATAATCTGATTGTCCTTTTAACTTCTCATTAGACATAGAAACAAATGCCCTATAATGACCAAATCGAATCACTTATTAGGTGAGAGTTTTGAAGATTGATTCGATTCTAAAAGCCTCATTATTTCCAACAAGTAAACACTTACTAATGACAAAAACAAAAATTCACACGAAAGACAAAGTTCTCAAAATAAAAAATAAGTCAATAAAACAATACTAGACTTAAATTTAATCCAACCTGATACTAGAAAAAAAGTCTCCCTTGGTCTTTATCAATCTTGTATGGGTGATGAGTCTACCTCCAGAGTCTCCCTCCAAGGTTGCCAACTTCACATTTTTTGATCTCACATCTTTGTAATTGTGCCTCCATGCGTCAGATTCGCTCCCTTCATCTCCCTAATCTTCTTTCATTGATAATCTATTCACGTGCTCTGGATCTTCCCTTCCATTTATTATCTCCTGCTCTTGCTGATCGCCACAATATCTTTCACCTGAAAGAAAAGGCGATGACACTGAAAAAAACTCAGGGAAACAATGGCCTAGCCACTTCCACTATTCGAGTTATCTTGATGCAACATTGAAATCCACAAATTGCATTTCAATTTGGATAAATGTTTTTCATTTTATAACATAAATATCACGTGTACTCACTTCGTTCTCTAGTAACGGTCTTATATTCTATTTTGTGACATTTTTTATTAATTCTTGTTCTTTCTATTTTTGGAAAGTTTGCTCACTGAGATATTACCCTAAATAGGATTAAAATAGTTTGAAAATTTCAAAATAGGACTGCCATGTTTTTATTCTCAAAATAGGACTAATTACTACCATGTTTTGGGAGCACCAGACTTCAAACATGTTAGTGTTTTCTAAACATGGCAGTAATTAGTCCTATTTTGAGAATAAAAAACAGGACAATCCTATTTTGAAATTTTGAAACTGTTTTAGTCCTATTTCGGGAACTTTCACTAAATATATTCATACACCTCCATTTTGGTTACATTTACCCTTTTTTTACTTTTTACATATTTCATACTACTTTCTCTTTTCTACTTTATCATTATTTTACTCTTCTATACTATCCTTACTATTTACTCTTTAAACTCGTGTCAAACTCTAAGGGGACAAGTAATAGACAACCCAAGGAGTTTTTTGTTGTGTGGAAATTACCCGGATGGTCTAGTTTTGTGGTCCACACATCATTTATCATTTATGTCTCAATTACTTCTTCTTTTCATTTTAATCTTTTTTATTTTCAATCATGTTTTTTTTATTTCAATTTTAGACTGATTTCAAACCGAGAGACGCAAGGTGGAAGGGGATT